TGCCCCACACCGCAGGGAGAGGCAGCACCCCAACTCCTGAGGGAGCCCTAGATGCTCATTTCACAGCACCAAGGGGTCACCACAGCCTCTGAGCATCCCCAAGAAACCCCAAAATCCAGCTCTGCACCCCACAAGACCACTACAACCTCATGGCACCCTTAGGGAACCCTAAATCCTGCCTCACACCCCCATGGAGAGGGGTCACCCCGGGCTCACAGTGCTCCTGAGGGAACCCCCAGTCCTGTCCCACACCCCACGTTGCCAAGGGGCGACCGGGGTCTCACAGAACCCCTGGGGGACCCTAAAATCCTGCCCCACAGAGAGACGGGTCAGCCTTGCCCCGGCTCCTGAAGGAACCCAGTCTTGTCCCACATGCCACATCACCAAGAGGTCACCTCAACCTCCCGAAGCCCCGGGGAACAACGAGAGAGAGGTCATCCCCCAGCCCCCCACACCACTGGGCAGGGGGGTCTCCACAGCCTCACAGGACCGTCAGGAACCCCCACACCGCTGGGGAAGAGGGGGTCACCACAGCCTCACAGCACTGCCGGGGGACCCCCCAGAGCAGAGCAGCCTCCTGGCAGCGGGGCTGTGAGAAGCTCCCAAAGCCGCGGTGGCGCAGGGAGGAGCAGGAGCGGAGGAGGGAGCAAGGGATGGGCGATAGCGGCCGGTCCGTGTCCCCCCCACTTACCCGCCCCGCCATGTTGCCGCAGCGCCGACCGACAGGCCCTCCCCGCGGCCGCCAGGGGGCGGCGCAGCGCAGGCGCCGCGGCGCGAGGGGGCGGGGCCTCGAGGACTGGGAGGCCACGCCCCCTGTGCGGTTCTGGCTTTCCATTGGTCGCTCTGCCCGCCGCTCAAGGCACTGACTGTCACGTCACAGAACGACCCGCCCATCGGCCTGGCTGTGAGGGGGCGGGGAGTATTGCTGTCAATCACCGGGAGAGCTGCGGTGATTGGCCGATGACGAAGGGTGGGCGGGGCCGAGGGCTCCGGGCGGTCCCGGTATTCCCGGGAATGCTGCGGGCGCCGAGCGCGGGTTCGGGGGAGGACACGGGGATGGCGAGGGTGGGACACGGGCGGTGCCCGGCCGGGAGCGCGACGGCAACCTGGAGGGGTCCCGGCGGGGCTTGGCTGGTCCCGGTCCCGGTCCCTATCCCTGTCCCTGTCCCTATCCCTATCCCGCGGTGCAGCGGGACGGGCTGAGCGCCATGGTGTGAGGGTGAGCGGGGCCGGGCCGCCCCTGCGCCAGGAAACCCCTGCTTTAATTCTTTAAATGATTTAATTCTATTTTAATGTCGTTTTAAGTAAATAATATTTAATTAATACTAATTAAATAAATTTAATCGAATATCAGTAATGTTTATAATAATTGATCATAATTTTATAGTAATATTAATATATTAATGATAATAGTCACATTATATACAATACATTGTAATATATGTTACAATATAATAATACATATTGTAGCATATTGTATGTTATAATATTGTATTAATATAGGATGCTATATTTTTATATATAGTAAAACATAATAATAATTTAACATTTTTAATTGTATATTTTTTTTTAAGTTTAATTATTATTACAATAATAATTTAACATTTTTAATTGTATATATTTTTTTAAAGTTTAATTCTGTTTTAATTTAATTTTTAATCTGGCTTTGATTCTGTTCCTTCTCCAAAGAGGGCTGTGGTGGGTTTCCCACTTCTTTTCCTAAATGCCAAACTACCACAAGGCCGCAGAGCAGCTGTTGTAAACCAGGCATTGTGGTCTCCTTCAATGACATCTAATGGCTTAACTGTTTTCCCGGACTTCCCATCCGTCAGCAGCTGGCTGACACTAATGTTTGTTTATATTGGTGATAACAGTCACAGGTGTGTGGTAATGGGAGCTCAGAGCTGCCACCAAATCCCTCACGAGTGTCACACCCGGACCCGGCTCGTTCCTGGGGAGGGTCTCAGGGCTCCTCCAGCCCATCGCTCACCTCTCGGTGTCTGCTCCCTGCAGCTCTCCTCCCGCACAGCCGGGTCCTGTCTGAGCACTGACAGCTTCCAGCTTCAGGATGTGGATCTGGATGGGATTGGCTTGGAGCAGTGCTTTGCTCTGGAGAGGCAGATCACACCGGAGGAGAGGTGCTGAGAGGTGACAGAGCTCATCCCCCTGTGTGATGTTCAGCCAGGGATGAGATCCCAGCCGTGCTCTGAGGTTGGTGTTCTGAGGAAGGTGATGACAAACACTCCAACCCCAAAGTTCAGTGGTGTCTGCAAAGCCAACGCAAATATCCTGGGAGCTCTAATGCATTGGCAACGTGTTATAGCAGCTTCCTGCGTGGGCTTTGACAGCATAATAAAATATTAATACTGATTGTAACTGCTGGTTACTGCCTTGAGCAAGTACCAGAGTCAGCTGGGACCCAGAGGGGAATGCCAGGTCCATGGAAGACTGGCACTGAGGAGATTTTACCACAATGGCCAAAGTGGTCGGTGTCCCAGACTGTGGATGTACCTCAGTGCACAGCACAGGCCTGAAGGGAAGAAGAAATGGGGTCAGTGCCTAAATCTGCTGTGGGCTGATCTCAGCAGCACAAGGATTCTGTTTCCTGCAGTGAGACCCTGTTGCCTCTGCCTGCAGCTGAGCAGTTTCACTGTCCCTCGACAGAAATCACTGTGCCAGCAAAACAGCACTGGGAAGTGGTTGTTAAATATTGCAAACAACCCCTGTGCTCCGGGGTGGCAGCAGCCAGACCCTGACAGGTGACAACCTGAGCGTGCTGCCACCGTTCTCCTGCACAGCTGGAAAGGTGCCCAGCCTGGGGGCTCGGCTCAGCACTGAGATCTGGCTGAATGATGAGTTTTGTGGGGATTCTCGCTGCTCTCATCTTCCCAGATCTCTGATCTGTGGCCTTAAGGGAGTCTCTTGCAGCAAGAAATGCAGGAAATGCAATGTATGAATTCATAGGGAACAGCTGAGGGGGACAGTGAAGCAGTGTCCATGCTTCCCCATTGTTCACCATTTCAAAAGGGGGAGAAAAACAAAGCAAAGCTCCCCAAACCAAGCACAAAGGTCACACCAACTCCTCTGCACATCTGGGACTGAGGGGGACAGCAGCCCACACCTGGCTGCTCCTGAGCCAGCCCCAAACCCCCAAAGTCCCACAGCTCTTCCCTGGGGCAGGGAGCATGGGATGGATCTGGGACACACTCTGAAACCAAGAGCTTCACTGGTGCCTCCTTCATCTCCTGGAGTGAATCCTCTGGCTTCTGGCAGACAGAAATCTGTGTCAGGAGTCCCTTGGTGGGTTTAGGAAGGGGCTGGGCAGACCTGGCCACCCAGGCTCACCCCTCTGCCCTTCCTGTTATCCTGTAGGCTGGCAGCACACACTGAGGAAGTGAGAGATGTATCTCAGCACAAAAGACCACAATTCATAAAACAATGTCTGCTTCTGTGGGCACTTACTGTCCTGAGTAGCCCAGATCGGGGTAGCAGCAAAAATGCTGTCTCCAGAAGCCTTAAAAACAGCTTGAGGAGTGCAAAACAAAGTATCTTTCAAAAAAACAAGTGAGGTTGGCTTCAAAGTTTGTGGAGTTTTCTTAGTTTTTTTCAGTGAGAACAGTGATATTCATGAACTGGCAGAGCATCTAAACCAGCAGCAACAATGAAAAGCATAAACAAACACAGGCTGTGACCCCCCTGCTTGTCCCAGCTCACTCTGCCACCACCTCCCCTGTGGCTTCTCTTCCAGCCAAGCAGCCCCTGGGGTCTGGGACTCCCCAGCAGGGCACAGACCCTGCCACAGGCACTTGGGGACCGCTCTGTCACCAGTGAGGGGTGGCAGAGGGCTCCTCTTGCTCTTGTGAGAGAGCAGGACTGAGGAGATAGCTGGGCCCTGCTCAGGGCTGCTGTGGAAGGGCTGTCCGACCATCCCGGAGCCACTCTGGCAGTCACTGTCACCACCTGAGCTGGCACCGGAGCCCCTTTGCAGCTACACCCGCCACACTCACACAGACCAGGCTTCTCACAGCAGAGTCTCAGCCATCTCAATCGAGATTATCTAATCCTGGTGCAGTAATAAAATAGCAAAATAACAGCTCAAACAGGTGCCTCTGAGGATGGACCCCAAACAAAGGAAATCCGTGGCTTGTATACCCTTCAGAGTGTGTGAGCAGCAGAGTCTGGTGTCACCAGCTCCTGCTGTGTCCTGAGTGTCCTGTCCCCTGGCTGGGCCGCAGGTCCCCGAGGCCCTTTGTTGTGCAAAGGCTTGGAGAGGCCTCGTTCTCCTCCAAAGCTCGTCCCACAGCTCCATGGCCCAGCTCTGAATGGATTCGCTATCAGGGCTGGAAGGGGGCAGCAGCTGAGGGCAGCCCCGGGATGGGGCCTGGGGCGCAGGGTCGGGGGGTGTGACAGGGCCCAGGTGTGACAGGGCCCAGGTGTGACAGTGTCGGGGGGTGACAGTGTCGAGAGGTGTGACAAGGTCGGGGTGACAGGGTCGAGGGGTGACAGGGTCGGGGGGAGTGACAGGGCCCAGGTGTGACAGGACCCAGGGGTGACAGTGTCGGGGGAGATGACAAGGTCGGGGTGACAGTGTCGAGAGGTGTGACAAGTTCGGGGTGACAGGGCCCAGGTGTGACAGGGCAGGAGGGGCCGCTCCTGCCGCTGTCTCCGGGCGAGCGGCGCGTCTGCGGCCGCTCATTGGCGGGAGCCACGAGCGAGCTGTTTTCCCATTGGCTGCGCGCCGGCGGGCGGGGCCAATCGCGGCGCAGCGCTTTGTTCTCCGAGCGGCGGCGGTTACCGCGTGGCGAACAAAGCCGCTCACGTTGCGCGGGGAGACGCGAGGCGGCCGCGCGGGCGCTGATTGGCCGAGCGCCTCGGGCGCTGGCCAATGGGCGGGGGCGCGCGGGGTGGGGCAGCCGTTGGTCCGGCGCGAGGACAACGGCTGGAACTCAACTCGCCTGAGGCCGCCCCGCGCTGGCCCGCGCCGAGAGCTGCTCGGAGCCATGGAGGTGAGGGACGGGACCGAGATGGAGATAGGGGCTGACTGTGCGCCTCCGCCCGTCACACACCCGGCGGGCCGCCGCGGCTGTCTTGGGCTTGGCTCCGTGGGCGATGAGGAGGTGTCGAGGCCCGACGAGCGTCGCGCCGGCCCCCGGCAGGTGTCCGAGCCCCGCTACCCCCTCCGCGCCCCGGCGCCCTCCCGTGTGGGAGCAGGTGTGAGACACGGAGCTTAGGCCTGTGAGGGAAATACCCCTCAGCATCCTGAAAAGCACTTGTTTGGGGAAAAAGGGGGAAAGTATGGGTTCGGGGGTGTCTTAGGGCTATCTCTGTCCCTACAAGTTTGCCCTCGTTCTGTGGGATCGCAGACTATACAAGTGTCAGGTGTCCCTGTGAACGGCAATCTCTGAGGAGAAAATATGACCCAGTAAGCTCAGGACATAGAGCCGAGCTCCACAATAACTTAATGTGTTCACTTATTTGGAAAATGTGCCAGAAGAACATAGAAAAATACCTGGGTGTAATAGTAGCGGGAGGTACGATGAAGATGACTTGGTGCATCGTCAGGGAGGTGCAGAAGGATGTGTTTCTAGAGAGCAGAGCTTATTCAGAACCCTGATCCTGGGTTGACTCTTCTGGATTTTTTCATCATTCCAGATGAGCTGCTATGGTAATATGCCAATAACTTTACTTTTCTGTTTGTTGGCTAAAGGGGCTTTTAGCTAGCTAGTTTAGCTTTTCTTTGTGTGCCTCACCCTTGGGAGAAGAGAAGAGCCTTCAGTTTTTCTTTCTCATTCCTTACTTCTGCTGGCCTGTGGTTTCTGGCACTTGGAGGGGTGTCCCTCCAGTTGGAGTCGTTTCTCCCATAGTTACAGAATGGAGCAGGTTTCCACCACAGCTCTCAGGGTTGTATTGTAGGAAATTTCCAGCTTCTGACTGCATCTGGAAATACACATCCGTGTCATCATGTTACTTAAACAGTGCATGGGAGCAGTGATGGAAGGACAAGAGATGTCCAGGAATGTGTGAAGGCTGAATAACTTCTGCTGCTGTTGGAAGAAGGGTTCCCTGCCCATGACAGGGGTTGGAACTGGATGAGCTTTAAGGTCTCTTCCAAACCATGGCATGATTCTGTGAGCATTCTTCTGTATTTGATGTTCCTCTGTGGTGGCTCTGATGGTGGGAAGCTCAGCTGGTAGTAGCAGGAAGAGTGTAGATTTCCTTTTGATCTGCAGCTTCTGTGTCTCTGAACACCTTTGGAGTTTTTTGTGCTTTGGTAGGTTCAGCTTTTCCTTCAGGGTAAATAGGAAAGTATTTTATATCCATATATAGAACCACATCCTTGAAAACTCAGATGGAACAGAATCCAGCAGTAAATTAGAAGTGTTAAAGAAGTTAACATTGGTATAAAATCCACAACTGTCAGCTCTTTATAATTGTGTCTCTATGTGTAGTTATGTCTGTGTGTACTGATGTTCGTGTCCTTTTCCCTGTCCCCACAGCCCAATGTGGCATTCTGTGTGTGCTGATGTCCCTGTCCCCACAGCCCAACATGGTGCTCTGTGTGTACTGATGTCCCTGTCCTTTTCCCTGTCCCCACAGCCCAACGTGGCGTTCCGAGGAGGCAGCCGCTGCTGGGGCAGTGCGGAAGCGGGCGGGAGGCCCACGGACGTGTTCAGCGCTGCCCTGCCGGGCTCTGCCTCGCTCTATGCCTGCTACAAATCACAGGTTCAGTTGGCTATTGATTATTTTTATAGCTCTGTAAGAGTTTGTGTTGCTTGTGAACAGAATGGTCAGAACATGTTTCTAAAGTGGTTGCTTACACTGGTGAACATAAATAAGTGTTTGATTTAACTGTAGTAAATCTTCTTCGCTGTAACTTTCACCAGAAGGGACAGTGGCTTTTCTAATGCAGTCACTGATGAAGTTGTAGGGGATGTTTGGTAAAATGGTATTTCACTATTGTTCTGGTGAAATGTTCATGGTAATTGTTCTTCTGTTGGCATAAACAATTGCTGGCAGAGTGAGGAGCAAAGAACTCTTTTAGGAAAACTGGAAACTGGGTAAGAAGGAGAACCTTATTGCCTCAGATATTTCTGTAGTCCAAGCATTTGTATGAACCAGTTCTTAGTCTGATCAGCAGAAACTGCCAGGACAGTTAAATATGTCAGTTCTGTCTTGGAATTTTTGCCTTTCATAGCCATAAACTTTCACAGAGGCAGAAGACTCAAATGAAAATTCATTCCCAGTACATTCAAGACCAGACTTGCTACTTCTTCCATCCAGGACCTGTTATTTTGTCAGACTACTATGCTCCACAAAGGAGTGTATCATGAGTCTTTAACATCTAACCTTGCAAAAACACCTTTTATTGTTTCACTTACTAAGAAGGCCTATTGTGTGTAAACCAAACAGATAAGACAAAGATGTTCCTTTTCACTTAATCAGCATATAATGCATTTCCTCAAAGAACTTGTTCTAGGTTTTCTTCAGTACTTTAATACCCTTTAATAATGGGGAGAAAGGGGGTCTAACTCCTAACTCCTGTCAGGGATCAGTCAGCAGAAACTGGAGCAGCTGTTTTCAGCTAACATTGTTGCTGGTTTTAAGAAATCTCTAAGGATAGACAAGGGTCAGGTTGACAAAGGAGACATTGTTTATTCTGTGCTTGGTGCCAGGGGAAGTTTTCCACAAACCAAGCACACCAAGGAGTGAAAAGCAAGAGAATTTAGACACTAAAATTTGCATAAACCTGCCTGTCTGATCCACCATTCCTGCCTGCCTAATGCAGTCACTGAGCTTGTGTAGCCTTAAGTAAAATATCCCACCTCTGGTGATCTCCATCTTTCTTTGCTCACTCCATTACCTGATGCATTTCTTTCGTGTCATGGTAGATAGTAAGAAAGTGTTTCTGCTACGCTTTTTAGCTTCTTTTAACAGCCTTTGCAAATTTTTACATTGTAGCAATTTCTATACTAGCATAAGGCTCATTTCCATTAGGGCTAGGTTGTATAGTTGAGATTAAGATACAGGGGGTTTTTATTAGTTGAAAAAAAGCTACTGGGGGTTGAATAGTTAAAATCACAGCCTCTGATCTGAGTAAATTTACAAACACAAAAATTAGAATGTGATTTAATTCAATATCTATTTCTATATATTCACAAGGAGTACTAAAGCATTCCCACCTTTTACCCATGTATCTGAGGATCATTTTTATATTAACCACTGGTGGAATTTCAAAATTAGATGTTCTGTTCCATATCTAGGCAGAAATCTTGAATTTCAATTGTATTTCCTTCAGCTGTTGTTCATTAGCTGTACAGGTGCTGACACCTGTGGTTTGTCTTCTGTTTCTTTCTGAATGGGCCCATACTCTGTGTCCTGTTGGCTACATTGTGGTTCCATTATTGATCAGGTCAGGAGCACGAATAAAAAGCATGAATAATACAGCATGAATATCATATACTGTAGTTTTAAGTGTAGTCAATGTTAAATAGTATTTGTTGTTTCCCTATCTCCTTAATTACATACAGGTTGAGTTCCCAGATTTGAGGCACTTTGGGAGGTGTTAATGGTTAGGGATTTCCTTTTATCTTTACTTGTATCCAATGGCCTTCTGCTACTACTTTATCTCTTATAGCTGAGCAATGATATTTACCTTCATCCTCCTTATGCATCAAAGGAAATTTTGTCAGATTTTTGTCAGATTCCCATCTAGTTGTAACATTAATTAATAATTTAAATTCTCTTCCATCCTTCTTAAACCATTGTACAAATGGTTTCTTGTTACAGTCTTTGACTGGACAAGAAAGAACAAAAGGATTACCTATATAAGTTTCATATTCAAAAAGGTTAAGGCAATTCAAGGAAACATGTCACAGTAACAATCTTAACCAATGTAAAACTCTACCAACATTATAGCAAGTTTGACATCTGGCACTCTCTTGGCAATCCTGGTCTGTGCAATTCTGTTTGTCTAAAATAATTACTGCAGTTGGAATTGCTACTACCCCTTGAGGGCATTCAAGTTCTATGTAAGACAGGTCTTCTTCCCAGGCAGAGTTCACAAAGTTACTGTTTAATTTTTTTAGTCCCAAAGTTTCAGAGGAGGTGGTTTCTGACTTCCCTGATCCTGTAAGTTTTCTTCAGTCCTGAATGGTGGTTCCACAGCTCTAGTCCTTGAAGTTTCACAGCTGTGTATGTTGTAAAATAAACCTGGTATGGTCCTTTCCAGTGTTCCTTTGGTGGCTCATTGTTCCATGGTCTTAGACCCAATCTCACACCTGGATGTGAGGAACAGGAAGGTCAAGATCAATCAGATTTCTGCAGTGAAGGTACTTGTTGATAGACGGCAAAAATCTCCTTAGAGAGATAACATAATTACGGCAAGTGTTCTTGGCCCAGATATTCACAGAAAGTGGTTTGTAAGAGACTACCTACCTATAAGGTCTCCTGTGTAGATTTCAGAAGGACTGAGTTTCTCTGGACCTAGGTATTATTCTGACCCTCAATAGTGCTGGTGGCAACATCTCAGGCCTCTTTGTTTTGTCCTTTATTCCTTCTGTGGAATGGTACATGGAGGTTTGATTGGGCAGGGTCAGCTCAACTGGTATAGCCTCAGGTGTTCACTGCCCAAGTGGCCTTCACTAAATGTAGATTCCCAATGTTTGAAGGTCCCACCACCCACTGCTTTCAGTGTGGTTTTTAACAGTCCACTGTACTATTCAAGCTCCCCAGAGCCTGGTGCTCCATACCCAGTACAGCAAATGCTTGGATCAGATTTGTTTCCAGTCTGCTCTGGGCAGATCTGTTGTTAACTCAACCCTTTGTGCCTCACGTTTGTTGGGTGCCAGTTAAGGCTGTTGTGGTTTGGGAATGGCACTTCCCAGTTCAGTTTTCCCACTGAGATTCTCCAAACCACACACTGATCTCTCCCTCCCCTGCTCTCCCCTTCCCTTCCTTGCTGTGGCACAGTGGAGAGGAGAATTGGAGACACAAAAGGCAAAGATCACAGGTTGACATATAAACAATTTACTGGGAGCAGCAGAGAGAAGAAAAGGAATGGTAACAGCAACAGCAGATAGAGGATACAAGAAAAGATTCACATGGAAAAATTTCCCAGTGATACTGGGTGGATCTCCATTTTCTTGGCTGGAAGTATCCCCTTCTCCCTGGAAAAGAGGCCCTTTCCCCCACCCCAGGCAGTGAGGTTGGGTGGTACAGAATGACTTCTGGGTCCTAGCCTTGCCCCTTCCCAGCTACTGCAGAAAATTAACCCTGTCCTGGCCAGAATCAGAACAGTGCTGACACACCTATAGGTGTCCTGTGCCTAGGAATGATCTCTTTCAGTAGGACCTCACCTACTTCCTCAGCTTGATTGGTTTGGCAGAGAAATGCTTCAGGCCCATAGGAAATGTATCAACTATTACCAGTAAGTTTTGTACCCATTCTGCCATGGCAGTGAGAGAAATCTATTTGCCAGTAATTTCCTGGTGTATTCCTTTTTTGGCTTGTCTTGGGGAAGGCTGAGGCTGGTTCTGTGCATGCACGCTGTGGTTCGCATTTCTTCACTATACTTCTTGTGATGCCTCCCATTCCAGTCCCAAGGGTACACAGTTTTACACTGATTTCCAAAAACTGTTGGGCTGTTCTTAAATCCCTGTGGTAAAGCAGTCCAGCATAATTGAATCTTTGGTCCCATTTCTGGATTTTCCCATTCAAATACAAACAGCTCCTGACTTTAGTGTCCAGTGGGATACAAAAGGAAGCATCTTACAAGTCCAGTACCAATACCTGTTACTATGCCTGCCTAGGCCTTTTTGGGGGAGGGGTCTCTGTTGATCACTGGGTGGTTGGGGAGTGCCCCCTACTCAGTTTCCAGCAAAGGTCAGCTCAGGACATGCAGAACACAAGCCTGAGTGACAAAAAAGTTAAAAAGTTGTGATGTGCAGCTCCAGCACCATCTTCTTAAACAATTGCCAGGCAGGATGTAAAATACAAATGCTTTCCATAAGCCTTAAGCAACATTTGTTTAGCACACCTGAGAGCACCTGTTTGTGTTCAAAAGAGGCATGAAAGGTGAGAATATGATCAGCTTCTGTCTCCAACAGAGAGCAAGGGAAGGGACAGAGAATTCTGCTTAAGAATATGGAGAATTCTGCTTAAAGACATTAACATGGCCTGAAATTGTTGTATTCCAAGTGTGTGGCTTGCTTACTTCTCGTGTGCTGGTTCCTCCAAGAGTGAGCTCAGTTACAACCATGTGCAATGACAAAATGACAGTTTGATATGTTTCATATTAAATAAATTATTTTGTTGTATATTAAATGCAGAATGAAGAAAATATGGAGTTACCTCAGGCCTACAGTTCTTCCCTTTCAACATCAGAGTACTCTGCACCCATGGACCCTTCCCTTTTGTACCCCGCTTGGTCTACATGTACAGATGACACCAAGCAGCCTGCTGCTCCTCAGGTTAACCTGAAATCCAGGTAGTCATCCTTGACAGGGAATGTGTGTGTGTGTCTGTGTGTGTGTGTTGGACTAGATAGATTATATTTTTTTTGTTTAATTTAATGTAGAAAGTACTTTGAATGAAGGAATAGTTTTTATTAATACACAGTTGTTTTCAGGATTCAGCCCGAAAGGAATGATTATGGCAGTGAAGCTGATTTGTATGGACTCGTGTCAGACATCTTGGAAGAACAAGACAAACCACAGCCATGCTTTGCTGAGGGGTGAGTGAGGTGCAGGTGACAGAAACTCCTTTCTCAGATCTCACTGTGCTCCTGAGTCAGCTCCAACTGCTGCTGGCCAGGCCTCATGTTCTGTGAGCTTTCTCTTCCTTATCCTCATCTTCCAACATTTAGTTTGGGACACTTGGAAACTTCTCCCAAGGCACTTAGATTGCATGACAGCTTCTGGCTCTCTGTTATTTACAGAACTTATTAATTGGCATTTTGTAAAGAAGATTTTATCAAGTGTTGTGGACATGCTGTATTCAGATAAATCCCCTGGATGTATGCCTTGGTCTGTTTTTTTATTTTAATCAGGCCTGAATTCAGACTTTAGGTTTCTTTGTTAGTGTCAATTCACAGAAAAAATAGACAAAGCACAGACTCCTTCACATTTGCCTGAACTAGGCAGAAGAAAATTCCATGCAAAATTAATGTTTCTTGCTGTTAGTGATACCTAAGCAATACTTGTGTATCTAAATGATACATGATAAAATAATTTCTTTTGCCTCTGTTCCTGCGCTAGAAGAGACAATTCCATAGTCATAACGACATAACACCCTTGTGCAGGTCCAGCAGCCTCAGGATACTTACAGAGCTCTCTGTCTTTTCATTTTCCAGGTCTAAGAGACAAGACAGGGAGCCCAGTTCTCAGGTTCCCAAGCCAGGCACTGCTTTTCCTTTCTGTCTTCCCAAACAATTCCAGTGATTTCTCTATGTGTGCTGAGTTATGTGTCTGAAATGAGGGAGGACTTCAGAGTCAGTCTTGATACCATGAGACAACTCAGTAATTCCTTCCCTATGGACAAGCAGGGCTGGTTCAGTACTCCCAGAACTGGCCTGCAATGGCTTCCAGACACAATTTCCCTTTTACTTAGTCTGTTTACAGTTCTCCTTGGCAGTCAGGGATTGATGGTCCAGTGTTAATTCATGCTGGTTAGTAGAAAGAAATGAGGTGTGCTGGGGTGCTGCCTCTGGCTTTACCTGCAGGAAGCAGTGCAGGCCAGTGTAAGGCACAAGTGAGGTGAGAGAGAAGCATTTTCTCTGGAGTGCTGGGACGTGGCTTTGGAAGACTGAGGGCTGTCTGGGTGACTGAACTTGGTGCTGAACCAGGAGTATTTCAGTGATGATGGACAGGGCTGATGGACCAGGATTTGATGTGTACACATCCCTTGCAGCTTGAAGGCCTGTCCATAGCTCCTGAGCTGTAGTGGTGTGTTTAGACAAGGCAGAATCAGTTTTCCCAGCTACATACGGGAAACTGAAGATGACAGGAGTGGGTAGAAGTTGAAGTCAAACATCTTGGAATCATTTGAGAGAAATTATTTGGGAATAATTAGTTTCTTAAACTTTGTTCTGTGTTTGGGAACGAAGAGCAGCAGCACAGATCAGTGTCTAACCATGTGTTTCTTGTTTTTCAAGGAGTTGCCCTCCCACCCTGAAGTCAGTGTGGCCAGTGAACACGACCAGAATGGAGCCCCATGAGCTGTTGCCAGAAGCCAGGAGGGCAGTTGTTGGAACAGTGCCCCAGCAGGGTTTCTGTGGCAGTGAGTCCATCCCTGCTGCTGACAAGCAGTTCCTGCAGAGTCCCACTCTGGTGGCACAGCAGAAAGCAGATGATTGTTACCGTGGCTTTGCTGGTGTGGACCTGGAAGAGCAGAGCTTGTACTCTGCCAGGAGCGATCGTGCCAATGGCTGCAACTTGCAGGCTAATGAGAGTATGAAGACAACACCTGTGTATCAGAACTACCCCTACCTGAAAAACACCTATGCAGCCCAAGCTGGGTACTCAGAAGCAATCAAAGACTCGGGAGCTGATGCTTATTCTTATGGAAGGGAGAAGCTGTGTCCCAAAGGAGCAGATGCACAGGTGCACCCGAAGCGGGCAGAAACATTCCTTCCACAGTGTCACAGATACAATGAGAACACAGATTATACCAGATACACTGAATATTCTCATGCTGGTAAAGCAAAGCCCAACAAGGGCACCAGTTGTAGCCTCCAAGAAAATAGAAAGCTGGTAAATGGAACCCCTGAGGCACCATCTTTGGATGCAGAGTCCTATGCTAAATTATTTCAAGTAAAATCAGGAACTCAGAAAAAATTTGAAGATACAATTTCAGATCAGCATGACTTTACATTTCCCAAGTCTGCAGGACTTGTATCAGAAAAACAGTTTGCAAGTGAATCTTCCTTTGGCACTGATTTTGGGCAAAAATTTGAATATGGACTAAAATCTTTTGCAGCTTGTCCAGGAAATAATGGTGTGGAAAAACAGCAGTTTTCCAAGGCTGATCTTCAGAATCCTGAATTCTATAAATCACTCCCATTGTTGCCCAGTGCAGCAGTCCCCTCAGCAGGTTCTAGCACCAGACCAGGGTGGATGAACATCCAAACCAAACCCATGGCTTCTGGCCCCTTCCAGAATCCAAGTCCTTTGTTGAAACTGAATAATCAGTCACCTGCATTTGCAAAAAGCTCTCGTCATTCTAATGATGTTTTTCAGTTGCCATCTTCAAATTTGCCTTTAAATAGTAATTTACTTCACAAATACTGTCAAGACAGCCCATTGCTCTCCAACCTTGAGTTTGGCTACAGCGCTGCAGAACGAGCTCGGGCGGCTGCGTGCATGGAAGCTCTGGTCAGGGGTGGGGAAGAGAACCTCATCGAGTACCTCAGTGAGAAGAAGTTGAAGCAGCCAAATGGATTCTGTGACAGTTACTTGGCCCAGCAGTTGGGGATCATTGATAATCTGAACAAACAGCGTTTCCAGCTGAAGCCACAGAGCGAGCAGTGTGATCTGGAAGGGCAGAACCAGGCGGATGGGGTGTTTCAGGACATGTACCAGGAGTTACTGGAGTCTCAGGGGCAGCTGCATCTTGGGGCAGGGAATGGGGACACCGGTGCTGGGAGCCTGCAGGCTCCAGGCATTCCCAACTGCATGGTGGGTGACTTCAGGCGGAACCGGCAGCTGGGCCCCAGCACCTTCCCCATGCGATCTGCTCACCTCATGGGCCGCTCCGTGGTGCCTCTGATGGACCCTCACACCTTGTTCTCCCAGGATGATCTCAAACACCTCTACCCCTGCTTCACGGAGAAGATGTACGGTGACAGTGCACTCTCTGGTTTTGTGTCAGCATTTGGATTTCAAAAGCAAGTTAAAAGTCGCAGTGGGCCTGCCAGCGAGCTGCATGTGAGACTGGAAGAGTGTTATGAGCAATGGAGAGCTTTGGAGAAAGAAAGAAAGAAGGTGAGAAAACCAAACTAGACTAATATCACAGATTTTGATGTAGATCTCATCCTTCTCAGTGCAGTCACAGATCATGGGTAGTTCTGATGTTAGGAGTTGAAATGCTGGATGGGACTTCAAAGTTACAAGTTTGTTTCGCTGTGTTTTGGGACAGAAAGTGAAAGGTGTGGAGATTTGTAGCCTGGCTGGAAGCATAGCTAATGTTGTATGGAATGTTGCACTAAAAGCAGGAATTCAGGGGATTTTCCAGTCCCCAGGGCTGGGGAAGATGTGTTCATGAGGAAAAAAGATGTGCTATACATTTTCTATTAATGCAATAAATACCGTGCCTCTGGAACTTTAAAGCAAATCCAGTAAATATGTTTTGAATCAAAACTAAATTATTTTAAAAAAAACTTTAATTATTTCAGTTCAGTCTTTTAGGAGCTACATTGAATTCCTACCTCTGGTTTCCCTGAAGGTTTAAACCTAAGGTGTATTTGAAGGGGTTCTTTTTTTTTCCTCAGAGGCTGAGGGAAGGGTCATTTAATTAAAACCCTTGCAGTAAAAGGCTCAGGTACTGCTGTGTGAAGCCCTGCTAAAAGCAGTTGCCTTTTTTGGTCTGTAGGAAAACTTGTCTTCATTTCACCAGCTGAGATGGGGTTTGAATTTCAATGCCTGGGATTGTCTATGGGGGAAGCTGGGCCAAATGTCACCTGGCAATAGTGGGGCCTTTGAGAATTCTCCTGTGGCAGCCCCTACAAAGAATCCAATTCCAAGAAGATGTAACATGGGGATTTTTTTGGTGGCGTTTCCTGATAAAAGGCAGTGGTTGTTCTGAATAGAGGGGCTAAGGAAAAGTGACCACAGCATAAGGAGAGGAGGTGGTGTCTGGGGTGCCTGGAAAGTGCAAGAATGAAAAAGGTGGCATGTGCATGATCAGGGGCCATGGGGGAGAAATACAGTTTTATCACAGAATCCCAGAATGGTTTGGGTTGGAAGGGACCTTAAAGCCCACCCAGTGCCATCCTGCCGTGGGCAGGAACACCTCCCAGTATCCCAGGTTGCTCCAAAGCCTGGCCACAGACACTTGCAGGGATCCAGGGGCAGCCACAGCTGGTCTGGGCACCCTGTGCCAGGGCCTCACCATCCTCTCAGGGAACAATTTATTTTTAATATCTAGTCTAAACCTGCTCTCTATGTGTGAAGCCACTCCCTCTTGGCACACCATGCTGTTGTTAATAGTGGACCACTATGAAACCATCCAAGAATTGCAATTTTAAAACAGATTCAGCTAATTCTATGTTGTTGTGGGTATTTCAGAGTGACATAACAAGAGGATGAGTGAGATGGAAACTTGGAATCTTGCAAAGTTTTCAATATAGTTTTCTGATGGCTAAATAAAATATAGAATCCTGGAATGGTTTGGTAAGGACCTTAAACACCATCCAGCTCCACCCACCTGCCACAGGCAGGAACACCTTCCACTAGACCAGGATGCTTAGGAAAAAAATCTTTCTGTAATTTAATCTGTACAAAAATTAGGTTAATTGCTGACTGAAACAGTTTTATTTTAATTTTATGTGTGAGATCCACATCTGTTTGGTCATTTTTTTTCCCTGTAATTCTGACTTACCTCCATTTTATTTCCAGGCAAAACCAGTACAGGCTGTAGTCAGAGTGAGCAGACATAGCACTGCTGGAACACGGTGTGTTGGCACGATTGCTTTAGTTGAACTGCTTTGAGTAAAGCAGTTGTTCACTTAAAGCAGGTGATTGTCTCACCAGAGGGTTAAATCTCAAATGCTTGAATCCTCATTGTCTCCTTTAAAAAACTCCAAAACCCTGATGGGAAGAATTTTAATCTGATATTTTTTCTTATTTCTGTAATGAAGCACACTCTACATGTACATTCTGAGGGAGTTGTTCTTTTGTTTTCTGCAGACTGAATCAGCTCTTGCTAAGAATTTCCAAGGGAAGAAGGTTTCCAGTACTAACAACATTCCAATTCCAAGGCTGACATCAAATCCATCAAGGGTTGATCGCTTAATTGTGGATCAGCTACGGGAACAAGCCAGAGTGAGTTGTAGAACTAAAAAATAATCTATTGAACTTATCCTACAGAACTTAGAGTACAGTGTGAGATAGGTAAGATGATCAGAGCAGCTTTTCCCAAAATAGCTTTGTTCTTCAATGCTGTGCAGGGAATAACATTTCAGCAGTCCCTGTTAAAGCTTCTGCAGCTCCAGGGTGCTGTTTCCAGGGAACCACAGAGAGGCTGAGGCTCACAGTTACATCCCCATGTGCCAGGAGGACGTGGTTCCTGGTGCAGGAGCATGCACGTGGTGCAGCATCCAGTCCTGGAGCCTGGGCACAGCTCTCTGGGGTGCTGCATTCAGAGTTGCTCAGCAGGGAAATGTTCACTGTGGATTTAGAAACACTGTGATGGAGGAGGTATTTGTGGGAAAAAACAGGTATAGTTAATGTTTGGAATATGTTGACATAATATATTTGCTTGAGAGTCTGGTATATTTTAATGCAGAATGATTATTTGAAGCACCTTCAGCCTGAGTTTCTGTTACAAGTTTGCTGTCTAACCCAGAGAGCCATAACCAGTAGGGCAAGAGAGGCTGGCATCTGCTGAGCTCTGTGGGAAAACCACGGTGCTGGTGACAGCCCCTGGGTCCATGGGGAGGAGGGAGCACAAACTCTGCCATCAGAATGCTGAGGGGCTGCTGTGGCCCTCCTGGAGACCAGAGCCATTGTGCTGCAGGCAAGGAGAAGCAGAAACCAACCCGTCCCCCCTGGCAGAGGATGTGGGGTGAAAGGGTTCTGGGAAATGTTTGGTTTGGAGGCAGCAGCCTGTCCTACCTGCCTCACACAGGAGAAATAATCTGTGGAGCTTTGTCTGCTCACTGCCTGCAGGACCTGCCTGGTGCTGCTCATCCATCTGAGTGATGGACTGAAAGACATGGATGGGCTTAGTGTACTGTTTTTAAACTCCTGCTCTATGAATCCCAAAAGAACAGCCTTACTTTCCATGTTTAGAAGGCTTGCCAGTCCTTGTCCTGATATTTTAAAACTGCCTCCAAAACAGGGCTTAAGCCTCTCTAGCCATTTGAGGAACACTTCAGGGTATATCACCTCAAACCCTTGTTATGTACCTTGTTTTAAGGTACTTTAATGTTTTTAGGTATTTTTAAGGATGCTCAACAGCAGAGTGGGGCTGTTAAACCTGGATTCTAAAACTGGAAAGCTTGGTAATGGCCAGGAAGGAACCCTGGTACAAAAATGTGAGAAGCTGAGATGGCTGAATCTGGGATTAACTCTTCATAGTTGAAGCATCCAGTTAAATCTTCTTGACAGTCTTATGTGTTCCTTTAAGACATGAAGTGTAGCCATGGCCTGAGGAACATCCCAATTTGGGGATTTTTAGTTTCTCTTTTTCTGCTGATCAGTAACCAGGTTCTCAGTGTTATGTGGCTGTGGTTGAGGAGTCACTCACCACTGGGAAACCCACAAATCATGTGACTGGTGTAAGATAAGACAACAAAGATGCACATTTTCAGTGGACTAAACAAACCTGAATTATTTCTGAATGTTTGCTCTCAGCTCTCTTAGTGCTGAGTGTTCATCCCAAAGTCATCCCACATGTGGTTCCACAGCAGCTTTTCCTTTCCCAGAGCCGCTGTGACTGCTGCTGGCCCAGGCTGCCCTGCACAGCACAAGGGGCCCATCTGGGTTTTCACACAGAAATAACAGCAGTGCTGTGAAAAGGGAAGACCCTAGTGCTCTGCATTCAGAAACATGCACATTGCCCTGAAACCACCTTTTGTTCATGGATGTCTCAAAGCTGTACAGATCTGGTATTAACCAGTAAGCTGAGTATCCTTACTGGGGTGTTGTAGCTTTGCTGTTGTGCTTTGCACACCCAGCTGTGCCACAGCTTTGGGTTTGGAGATCAACAAATCGCAGGTAAGAACTTAGAACTGCTTTCAGCTGTAACTTCATGAACTGTTCTCAAAAGAAAGTAATGATTATCATTAATCTGTTCTCCCTAGTTAGTTAATTTTCTTGTAAGTGTGGATGAGTACAGTGTGAACCCCTGTAAGATGTGAATTGTTCATTAGATTGTGACTTTACTGGGGAAGATGGAGCGCCTGCGCAGTTCTCCGCTCCTCGCCAACATCTCCACTGCTCTGGATAAACACCTGGAGTCGATCCATGTAGTGCAGGCTCGGAGGAAGGATGAAATTGTCAATGCTTCCAGTCGGCAGCGGCATGGCCCTCCCAGGTGCCAGGATGAGAGAGGTATAGCTGTGCTTATGTACATTTATAAGGTAGCTGGGAAGTTGAACATGTCTTGAAAAATAAGTGAGGTGGGTTGTAATTAAAATTTTAATTTACTTTTCAGTGTTAGAGCTTTGTCAAAGACAGACTGGGTGGGGTTTGGATGAGGTTTTGAGGAGACACTAAAACTGGGTTTTAGAGATAAATAGGTTAAATCAATTTGGAGGTGGTTATTCAATTAATGAACTAGCAAGGAATAAAAATTAGTGGGGTTTTTTGATAACACATTGAGGGATTGGGGATGTTACTAAGCTATTGCCTTTTGCTTCTCCCTGTCCCTCATATTCCTGAACTCTCCAGCTCTGTCTTTGTCTAAAACTTCCTTGGTATCTCCATGCTGAATCTGCCCAAAGTGGCCTTGGGTTACAAATGGATTTCCTCTTCAAGCACCTTCTGTCATAGACTGGTGTAATTACAAGTCATATTTTGGATGCATGCACAAAAATACAATGGGCAGAATGTTTTCATTCTTGATGGTGTCCCAAACAAGCCAAATATTCAGCTTAATCTTTCACCAGTGCACAGGCAGATGGCAGGTTCCCTTGTCTCTGAGATGGGAGTCAGGGTAAATTCCTGCTCCTTGCAACACTCTGACCTCCTACCTTGTGTCAGAAGATGTCTTACATTTCTGAATCTTCTCATCTCTTCTGCTCTTCTTTCTACGACTGAATTACAGGGATTATTTTACTTCTTTGGGGTGCAGTTCTGTAATTCTCAAGTTTACCTCAGAAGATACACTGAAGCATTCTTTCTTTTCACCTGTTCCCCATCATTCTTGTTTCTCTTTACCTTGACTGAAGATTAGGGGACTTGTTAAGGTGAAGGGGTTTTTTTGGGTGTTGAAGCCCATGAAAATAATTGATTTTACCTGGCTCTATCAGATCTGTGAGCTCTCTGGAACAGAGTAGTCTGGGAAGGAGTTGTCAGAGATCCAAATTCTTGGTGCAGCTACTGGGAAATGAGAGGAGGCTCTGCACAATGGATCTGATTACTTACCTGGGGGGGTGGTGCTTGGTCCTGTGTCTCCCATTGCTGTCTTGGGGTGTTGAACCTGAAGCAGCAGTTGGGGAGGATTTTTTTTAACAGTAAATTATTGGATGCAGTAATTGTATTTGCTGTGTCAGGAAAAACCTTGAGGGAAAGGCCTGAAGCTCTTCTGGTTTGTTTGGGAGCAGGTCTTGCCCAGCCCTGTTTCCACAGCACCTGATCACAGTTCCATCTGAAATGACATTAAACATCTGTCACAGAATCACAGGATGGTTTGAGTGGGAAGGGTCCTTAAAGCCCATCCAGTGTCGCCTCTGCCATGAGCAGGGATACCTGCCACTATCCCATATGGCTCCAAGCCCCATCCAACCTGGCCTTGGGCATTTCCAGGGATCCAGGGGCAGCCACAGCTGCTCTGGGCAGCCTGTGCCAGAATAACAGGACCACAGCCCAGCTGACCCTTTACAGCTCTGTGGTTCAACACCCATTCACAGAACATGACCTGTGTGCTCCAATCCAATGCCCCAAACAAGCTGTTCCTTCACCCACGGTAAGGATTTCTTGGCAGGACAGGTGAAGGACCCACCTGTGACCCAGAAGGGGGGAGGGTGCAGGTGCCATCAGTGTGTGTGTGTACATGGAGCAGCCCACCCCGAGGTGCAGCAGCAGGAAGGTGCTGTAACAAACTCAGAACATAAAAACCTGCCTTGCTGTGTGAGGGCACAGAAATTGAGAGCCAGCTTTAATAAACCTGTAAAGGGACAGATAAAGACACAAAAGGGACCAAAGGTGAGGGCAGCCCCTGCAGTGCTCCAGGACTAAAGGGCCATTTCTCCCTCTGCAGTGGTGCTGGCTCTGGCCACGGCGCTCCGAGCCCTGTGCCTGGCCACACGCAAGGTCCGCACCATGCTGTGGTGCGCCTTCCAGATGACCCTGCCCAAACCCTCGGCTGGCAAACGGGCTCGGGACAGACTGCCTCAGGAGGGGGCAGCGCCCGAAGAGAAACGAGTGGAGACACCCCTGGCTGCGGCCCCGGGAGGGCCCAGGGAAGAGGGTGCAGAGGGGCTGTGCAAGGACCTGCTCCGCAGTGTGTATGAGAAAGGAGAGATGAATTCCTCATAATTTTTTGTTCTTTTTAGTTTCTTCAAAGTTTCAACTGCTAAAGTTCGTATTTAAAGCTGTATCTTGATGGGAAGTGGGATTTGCCTTAGGGGCTCTCAGGTTAAGCTGTTAACGTGACAGGCAGAGTGAGAATGTTAGAAAGCCAAACTGGTGAATGTTAACTTAAAATAATCAGACTAATTCATTAACAGCCAAGATATTATTTAACTCCTGTGGGTGAAGCCTGGTGTCCAACTCTCCCCATAACTCCTTTTAGTTTTGCTTTAGGAAATAGGTTTTTAAATAATGATTCTTAAAGACTGTGATGTGACGGGGTGTGAGGTTGGTGTCAGATCAGATTGTGATGTAAAATGGTTTCCTTATTGAACTAAAACCTGGAAACAGGAAGTAAGAAGACTAGGAATACCCAATATTCATGTAAAACTAGATATTTAAAATACAAATGTTTATGATTTTGAGATTTTAAAGTCTACGTTTGGGAAAAGCAATATGCACCAGCTTCCACTAAATTACCAGTAGAGGAGAATTGCTGTGTGAAACCATGAATTTAGTGAATGTGTTCAGATATTTGGAATGCTCTTGGGAACAAAGGAACTACTGTTGTAAAGTATTTAAGCATAATCAAAACGACAGGCAGATTGTCCTGCAGAGCTGTGAAGGAGCTTCAATAATGAGCATTGTTTTTAATTTAACTTCAGAAAAGGTCGTGCCAAGTTCTGAAATTTGGATTTTTCTTAAAGTTACTAGTTTGGTTTGAAATTTGATTGTCAGCTTAGAGACTTCTTAGTTCCCTTCTGCATTTGGGCAGCTCCCAGCACTGGTGTTTGCTTGCAGCTCTCAGTCTTTAGGAGCAGGAGTGCTGGATTCACCAGCACCCAACGCTGGTGCTCAGGACAGGGAGACCCACAAGCAGTAGGTTAAAGTTACTGAGCATGCTTGCACACCCTAGTACCAACATGGCTCTGTTCTTCCTGCTGCTGGGAATGCTGATATGCAGAAGGGGTGATGGCATCAGATGAATTGTCATTAGATGATGTGCAGAACTGACTGAGAGAGGCTCAGCAGAAGGTGGGGTGTGATCACGGCAACGACAGAAGTGCTGCCGGGTGAGTGGGGCAGAACAAGCACAGCTTTCTAACAGTCACTGCACTGGGGGTTGTTCAGTTTAACCCAGGCTGTGTTGATGTTAAAGCAAAACTGACTGTGCTGACTGGAGTTGTCTATAAAAAATAAATTCATTTTTGTTGAAGACCTTTTGTTCTGCAAGTGTGCTTTCTAGGCCAGGCTCCTCAAGCCTGAACCAGCACTGGGGGGAAGCACTCTATGGAATTGAGTTCAGGATAAAGCAAAGGGGATGCTAAAATCCCTCTCTGGGGAGAGCCATGACCATTAACATCAGACGTGCCAGGGGAGCTAGAGTAGGGCATGTTTCTTCCTTCAAACATCTCAGCTCCAAGCTCTGCATTGCTAGGGAAGGCTGATGCAGCAATTCTGTCATCTGTACTGGGAATCTTAGGGTGAGTCCAGAGTATTCCTGCTCTATAAATAACTCCCTGCTGTCGGTGCCAGCTGTGCACTCCTGACTGTCCTGAATGGAGCAGCAGTGGTTGGAGCTCCAGAAGATGAGTTGCTGCCTGCCTGGGCATCTGATCCATGGCACAAACTGCTGGCATGGGAAGGGGTGGGCCCACAGTCCTGGGGGGCTGGGGGCAGTACCGTGGGGTGGGGGCAGCCCTGCAGCCTCGTGGGCTGGGAAGCATCAGCTCACTTTGAGTTTCCAAAACCCCTGGCTGCTGCTATGGTGCTGCTCCTGACCACAGCTCCATTCTGCCTCAGGACAGCTGCTGGAAGCCAAAGGGCTGCATTTGCCCTTGCTTCTGATCCCTGTCCCTGAGAGGGCCTTTCCCAACAGCAGAGCAAGGCTTGGCCAGACAGACACAGCAGCCCAGCTGCAGTTGAGCCTGGTTGGGAGTGCAGAGGGCAGTGGTACCTGCAGAGGGACCTGCAGGGCTGTGGGAGCCAGTGCTCACCGTGTGTGTGGCTGTGTCCTTCTTGCATCCACACAGACTCCTATGGATGTGCACACATGGTTATGGATGATGCTCCTGGACAGGCTCTGGGGCACAGCAGTGGGCAGAGAGGACTCAGGGCCTCTTCTCCCGAGGAGGTGAATGCTGCCCTTCCCTGGACCCTCTCAACCAAAGGTCTCAGGAGGCTGTGACAGGCTCAGGTGGGCCGTGCCCCTGCAGGTCAGGTGGGGCAGCTCCAGCCCTCAGCTTGCATTTTCCTTGGAAGCCAGGGGCTGGGCAGTTCAGTGCCAGGTCACAGAGCTCGGGTAAAGCCACTTAGGCTGACAAAGATGGGCAGTAGCTGCTGCAAGTGGGGTGCCAGCAGGAGGGGAAATGACCTGTGCTGCCCCTGAGCCCCACAGGTGGCCAGGGCTGCCTCAGGCCCAGGAAGAGCCAGCCTCAGCCCAGGGCTGGTGCACAGGGCTCCAGGGCACTAGAGGGAGTGAGAGCTGGCCCGTGGTGCTGGGGCTGAGTGACAACCGCCTCCCTCAACAGCTCCTCCCTGCCCTGTTCCACCTCAGTCCCACACCCTGGCAGCTGCCTGAGCCACCTGAAATACGATGCTCCAACCAGGAATGGCCACAGTGTACCAGGGCCAGGCTGGGAAGAGAACCTTGGGGAGCAGCACAGCTGGGTCAGCTCCCAGGAAAGGAGGGCACCACAGCCCTGAGAAGCAAAGCATGAATGAAGTTGAATCTGCACCAAGGCAGCAACAGGTGAGCCTTCAGAAATGCTGCTGCTGGGAAAGGGGCCAGCAAGAACACACCACTGGCACTGCCATCATGAATGGCAACATCACTCAGAGGAAGCAACTTCTTGGCCAATCAATATTTATTATTCAAGTCCAAAGACAAAGCAGTTGGAGGCTCACACACACAGCAGTGGCCTGAGGGGGAGGCCTGGCCCTGGAGTCAGAGCAGTGCTGAAAGCGATGCTGGGTCAGGCACCCTTGGAGTGCAGGAGCACAGGAGCTCAGCACAGGTCACCTCACAGCAAACAGGCACCAGAGCGTGCTGCAGCACAGAGCCCAGGCACACCCATTCCTCTCACAGGCCCTCCTTCCCCCTCAGTTCACAGGATTAGTGTTCTCCTTCCCCAGTGAGCAACACCATCACAAAAAAGGCAGGAGCAGCAAGGATGAACCCTGTGGGGGATGAGGAGCATTCAGGAAGAGCACTGCAGTTCCTGATGGCAGCTGTGCCCAACAGGCAGTGACCCCAGCGCATCCCCAGCTCACCCTGCTTGTGCCAAACCAGCTTCAGAGCTTCAGCCTGGCAAGAGCCGTGGAAGTAACAGTCCATGATCACCTCACAGAACATCAGGGAGCATCATTTTCCAGCTATCTTGAGTCTTAAAACTGCATTAGGAGCTTGGTTTGCTGCTGCTGAGGCCAATGCTCCTGCACTGCACCCGGGCGGTGTTTCCCTCACTCACAGCCCACAGGTGATGCAGTCACATCACCGCAGACCCTTTCTATTTCACACATCTCACTCCTGCTGCAGCCCAGCACTGCCCTGTGCTGAGCTCAGCTCCAGCCCTGCTCCCCCAGCCCAGCCCGAGGAGGGCTGGAGCGTTGGCCTCAGCAGTGCAAACAGGGATTTGCAAAGGTGTTTTTCAAGGCTTGTGTAAATGAATCCATGCGTGCCCTGGGGCAGCCTGGCCCATGGCAGGACAGGCTCAGATCTAACCATGGCCAGTGCAGGGGCTGCTCCTACACCGTGCTCTGCTCCCAGGTGGTCAGACATAAAAATGAATCAATTTAACAACATGGACATAATCACTTCACCCTTCTTTGGTACAGACACTGGCCACGAGCACTGACTGGGACACTGACACCACAAGCACAGGGCACACAGAGTCCAGGAGCTGCTCAGAGATTCTGTTCTGCTATAGAACAAAACAAAAAAAAAAAGAAAAAGAAAAAAAAAAGGCAACACTTCCCAAGAATAGCTCCCAGCCACGTGCCTGGAATTCTTGCTGCTTTTTAAACACACACCGTATTCAGAATTAATTTTATCCTTTGAGAGTCCAGCTGGAAATCACCAGCTACCGCTTCCGCTCGCCCTTCTGTGTTCGTTTCTTCTCCTTCTCCTTCCGCTCCTGCTTGGCCAGCTTGTCCTTCTCCCGCTGCAGTTTATCCTGCTCTTTCTTCTTCTGGAATTCATCCCGCAGCAGCTCCCGCTCCAGCTTCCTGGCATTCAGGACATCCTCCACGTTGGTGTTTCGGAACAGCGCTGGGGTGGGCTAAGGGCCAACGACACTCGGGCTGAGGTCGCGTGGGACGGTGCCTGTGGCACATGGGAAGTTTGTTCTACCTCTCTCTTCACCTTCTGACTCCCTATTTCCTCACCAGGCAGGTAAGGAACTGGGGAATGAAGAATATAGAAAGGAGAAAGAATCTCTGATTGCTTTTCCAGAAAGAGCAGTCAGGTTGAAAAAACACTAACTCCTAGAGAAGGAAGGGTCTGGAGCACAAGTCTGATGAGGAGTGGCAGAGGGAGCTGGGGGGGCTCAGCCTGGAGAAAAGGAGGCTCAGGAGGGACCTTTTCACTCTGCACAACTCCCTGACAGGAGGGCGCAGCCAGGTGGAGGTTGGGCTATGCTCCCAGGGAACAGAGACAGGACAAGAGGAAACACAGCCTCAAGTTATGCCAGGGGAGGTTTAGGCTGGATACTGGAAAAACTACTTCCTGGAAAGGGTGGCCAGGCACTGGCACAGACTACCCAGGGCAGCGGTGGAGTCCCATCCCTGAGGGATTTAAAAGCCATGCAGATGTGGCACTTGGGAGCACAGGTCAGTGGTGGCCTTGGCAGTGATGGGGAATGGTTGGACTCAATGTGAGAGGGCTTTTCCAACCTTAGTGATTTTAAGTTTTTTTCCTAGAAAAATGAGGTTGCCTACTGGTTCTTAAGACTGATGTGTAGGAATAC